GTGTGAACAAAAAACAAAGAAGGAATTTCTTACACAGAGAAGAGGAAGGGTTATTTATCACGTCATGTAGACGTTGGAGCAATAATGCTGAGACCGTCCCCAACATTTGTAGTTGATGGTAAAGAACATGATGCATAGTTAGTCAGCCATGTCTCTCAGCAATTATTGCATGAGCATGCAGTAGCAGTCCTGGACCCCCCTCCTCCATGATCATAGAAAACTAAGGTCTACTGTTAATAGAGATTTGCCTTTACTATATATACATACTGTAGAAAATCCCTGATAAGTTATTGAAAAGCATATTTCTTCCTGAAGGAGACGGGTAAGGAAGGAGAAAAAGAACAAGGGCCGTGGTCTCATTCAGGAACAATATGACAGCGGAGTCCTGATTTTGGCCATAAGCGATACCCCACATACTCTGTATGAATAAAAAGTGTGCACCTCTCTGATGTACATAAAACTTTATACAGCGGTGATCAGTAGGAAAAATGTCCCCCTTTACAGCGGTGGTCGGCCGGAAGCATGTCCTCCTTTACAGCGCTGGTCAGCCGGAAGAATGCCCCCCCTTTTACAGCGCTGGTCAGCCGGAAGAATGCCCCCCCCCTTTTACAGCGCTGGTCAGCCGGAAGAATGCCCCCCTTACAGCAGTGGTCAGTAGGAAGAATGTCCCCTTTACAGCGGTGGTCAGTAGGAAGAATGCCCTCCTTACCATGGTGGTCAGTAGGAAGAATGCCCCCCTTACAGTGGTGGTCAGGAGGAAGAATGTCCCCTTTACAGTGGTGGTCAGTAGGAAGAATGCCCCCCCTTACAGTCGTGGTCAGCCGGAAGAATGCCCCCCTTTACAGTGGTGGTCAGTAGGAAGAATGCCCCCCTTACAATGGTCAGCCGGAAGAATGCCCCCCTTTACAGTGGTGGTCAGTAGGAAGAATGCCCCCTTACAATGGTGGTCAGCCGGAAGAATGCCCCCCTTTACAGCGGTGGTCAGCCGGAAGAATGCCCCCCTTACAGTGGTGGTCAGTAGGAAGAATGTCCCCTTTACAGCGGTGGTCAGTAGGAAGAATGCCCCCCTTTACAGCGGTGGTCAGTAGGAAGAATGTCCCATTTACAGCGGTGGTCAGTAGGAAGAATGCCCCCCTTACAATGGTGGTCAGCCGGAAGAATGCCCCCCTTTACAGTGGTGGTCAGTAGGAAGAATGCCCCCCCTTACAGTCGTGGTCAGCCGGAAGAATGCCCCCCTTTACAGTGGTGGTCAGTAGGAAGAATGCCCCCCTTACAATGGTCAGCCGGAAGAATGCCCCCCTTTACAGTGGTGGTCAGTAGGAAGAATGCCCCCTTACAATGGTGGTCAGCCGGAAGAATGCCCCCCTTTACAGCGGTGGTCAGCCGGAAGAATGCCCCCCTTACAGTGGTGGTCAGTAGGAAGAATGTCCCCTTTACAGCGGTGGTCAGTAGGAAGAATGCCCCCCTTTACAGCGGTGGTCAGTAGGAAGAATGTCCCATTTACAGCGGTGGTCAGTAGGAAGAATGCCCCCCTTACAATGGTGGTCAGCCGGAAGAATGCCCCCCTTTACAGTGGTGGTCAGAAGGAAGAATGCCCCTTTACAGCGGTGGTCAGCCGGAAGAATGCCCCCCTTTACAGCGGTGGTCAGTAGGAAGAATGTCCC